ATGACAATAATGATAGTAACAATAAAACAAAAGACAGCAACAACGTAACAGTAATAATGACAGTGATATTGGTAATGGTGATCATAATCATATTGATAATATTAACAACAGTAATTATTCTATAACAAAAACGCAAACTATAAAATACGATAATAAGGATAACCATAATACAGTTTTTCGGGTCCAGGTCCGCCAAGCACACGCACAAGAGAAACCGTACCAAGAGGATAATGCCCGTGGCTCTGAGATGTCCCAAGCGCTGCGAGGAGAATGCGAAACGAGTCGAAATGAGCTTCCTCTGAGAATACTTTTCACTTCAGTATTATGCTGCTATGCCTTCGCACAGCCTTCGGAGAGACTGCATCCGGATGACTCAGCTGTTTTGGGCTTTGATATATCCAGACGATGAATTTTACTACCCTCTCGCAGCCACTCCGCCCGTTGCGAAAATATTGTATTGATAAATTTGCTACGTATTCTTTGGTGATCTAGTTGTAGGTGACATGATATCACAGGAATGGGTTGATTTCACAAATTTAAAAATGAGAGCTAATATTTATGATGTTTGTTAAAATTGTACGAGGCCCTAGCCAATGCATATTCATACATAGGGACATGCATAAACACAACAATAATTTCGTCTGTCTATCAGCTAGATATACATTTATTCATCTATCTATTCGCCAGATATGCATGTCTAGACTGAGAGATATGCATTTATTTCAGTATATATTCATGTCAGTATATATGAATAATCATTGGGTCTGGCCTCGCTCAAGTTTAACAACCCGACTGATCATCTTCATAAATTTTGGGGAAATGTAGTCTAGCTATGAGGAATTAGGCATTAGTTCCGTAATTTCTGTATTATTTCACAATGTTTCAGTTCTGGTATGACGGATGATTTACAAGACAAGCTACTCATAATGCCACTACATGGAACGCCCAACGAACTCGAGCACACTGGTGCAGAGCGCTTGCAGCAGAGCCCCCCCCCCCCCCCGTGCTCTGAGGCCGAATGCGTAAGCGCGTGCAGGGCTCCGCCTCTTGTGACTGCACGCCTTCACTGCACGCAGCTGTGATTGTATGGCGTATGGTGCAGGTGCTTCACTCATTGTTATTATTTTTTTTCATACTATTACAACTCTATTGAATCATTTTCATTAAGATTACTGTTGTTTTTATTATCTGTCATCATCGTTATTGTTATTCTTATGAACATTATTGTTGTAATAAGAAACTGCAGTTATTCTGCTGTAATGTTACTATTCACTTAATGTGTACGTTAGTACTCATTATCAGTATTGTTGTGTCGCCTTCACTGTATATACATTGACGGCATTAATAATGATATGACGTCAACATTATTGTCATTATTGTTACGGTTTTGCCTTTATCATTACCGCAATTATGATTTTCTTGTTATCGTTATTGTTTCCGTAGTTATGATAATAACTTTATTGTTACTAGGTCATTGTTAATCTCCTTAGTACAATCGTTCCCATTATGATTTTTATCGGTGTTATCACTATTTTCAACTATGACTATTAGTATCGTTACATCCATTTGTATCATCACTTTCTCATCGTTCATATCACCAGCGCCATCGTTATCATTATTGTTACTGTTATCATCATCGTCGACACATCATTATCATCGCCATCACCATCATCATCCTAATTGCTATGACCATCATTGTCATCATCATCATTATCACCATTGCTATTATTATTCTCATCATTATTATTATTACTGGTGGTGGTATTTTATCATCAATATTATTTTCAATATTATTACGATGTCATTATCACATCCTCCGCGCCATTGGTCCTCACTGGGCAAAAGAGCTGTTCTTAAATAAAAGCCGAAGGTTGCGCACGCGTCACATTTTGCTTCCTGGGAAAAGGAATTTCGCAAGATTTATTTTGGATAGAATGGGCTTTCCGATTATTCATCTGTGTGGATGCTAGTGTTTTCATGTGCATATATATATATATATATATATATATATATATATATATATATATATATATATATATATATATAACATATATATATATATATATTTGTGTGTGTGTGTGTGTGTGTGTGTGTGTGTGTGTGTGTGTGTGTGTGTGTGTGTGTGTGTGTGTGTGTGTGGTGTATGTGTGTGCGTGTATGTGTGGGCGTGCGTGTGTGTGTGTGCACACAACACATATGTATATATATAAATATATATACATATACATATATATATATATATATATATATATGAATGTGTGTGTGTGTGTATGTTTATGAATGTATATTCTATATGTATTATATATGTCATATTATATATAAATGCATGTTATATAGGTATATATATGTATGTATGTATGTATGCATATATATCGATGTATATATATATATATATATATATATATATATATATATATATATATATATATATGTATGTTGTATGTATTATATATGTGTGTGTGTGTGTGTATGTATATGTATATAGGAATGTGTGTATGTATATGTATATATACG